CTGTTGTGGTGATACCGGTATTACCAGTTTGTTGGACAAAATACTCCAAATAATCCAAGCTGTAATAAACTGAGCAACTTCTGACGAACGCTCATTTGTTTGTAGTTTTCAGGATCATGTCCGTCCCACAGATTTCTAAAAATAAAGCTGAAGTCATACCTGATGGGGTCACTTCTTTATTGCAGGTATGAGTAAGGTTATAACTGAGGATGTACGCCTTCTGTCCTAATGTGACTGCAGGATGTTCACTGTGTCTCTGTGTCGCCTCTGAATGAAAGGCACAGAAAAATGAGAGTAGTAATGTGTGTGTGTCTGTGTGTATGTATGAGGCAACCAAAGTAAGTCATAAATATCACAGCTCAAAAAATAACAGCAGAATGAATGACATCATGTTTGGACTGTACAAAAATATCCTGTGCTGGGACTCAGATATGTCTGACACGACACAGGCAGAGGACGCATGTAAGAAATCATCCTGGCTTTGTCCTTCTGTGCTGATGATATGATGCTTATTTTCAAATATGGTGTCTCTGCTGATGAAAAGTGTCCCCACAGAGAGAGAGACTGAAACGACCTTTGTGTCTCCACTGCTGTGAGTGAGCGAGTGAGCCGACTGAGAGCTTGCAGCGTTTGGGTGGAAACAGGTGACGAGGGTTAGGTCATTAGCCAAACTAGCAGCGTGCTCACCCACTTAAATTGTATCTTCTACCTTTATAATCAGCTCTTTTTTAGCATGTTAACAATCTGAACTCTGAAAGTAAAAAACAAATAAATGACCTGAACAAATAAGTGTATTTACACTAAAAGACTTAATCTGTTGACATCATCACTGACAAAGAGTCCAATCCAAGGCCAGGCGCTGCACCGTGTCTCCTGTTTTCACTCAGAATGACAGAAATGCTCAGCTCCAGCCTGCATAGCTGAATGTCACTAACAAATACGTCAGATTATATTAGATATGTCCATCTTTTACACTGTGTGTATCATGAGCCAGGCACACTGACACCCACTCCAAAGCACAGAACTGAGTCAGGATTCCATTTGAACTTTCTACCATCAAATTTACAGGAAATTTCACTTCAAACACAATTTTCCTGCTTCTGAAACGATTCTTTCTTGTATTTACAAAATCTGGGTGTCAATACAATAAAATAAAAATACAAGTAAAGCAGAAAAATAACATCATCTACTCATCCTCAAGAGGAAAACTGCTGTTAGAAGACAGCAAATGTGTAGTTCAGTCTAAAAGCAGACGTCGTTCAGAAACAACATAAATATACCCACTAGCTAGTCCTCAATATAGACACAGCTATGGAGGAAAAATAACTTTAAATGTTGCTGCTTGTTTGTAACTGAGAGACTGAGACAGCGTCTCAGGGCTGCAGGAGTCCCCGTGGGCTCTGTTTGCTTAAGCAGGCTGCGTTTTCCTGCATGGACAGTACTGATCACTGACACTGAGCCTTTTTGTTCTGGTTTTGTTTTTAAACCAGGGGGCCACTTCTGGAGCGATGTAGGAGGAGAGAAACCGGAGTGTGAAGAGAGGCCGCTGTAATGGCTTGTTTGCAGGTTAAGAGGTCCTTTGTGCATTGTTTGTCTTTCATTCTGAGCGCAAAATGAGCCGTTTAAACTGAGCTCTGACAGTGTGAGGTTCTGCCTGCTCGTGGCTTTCCCTATAACTGCTGAGTAAGACGCTGCGTGGCAATAACCTCAGCAGCAGTGCTGGTGTGTGTCTGTGTGAGTGTGTTTGTGTGCGCCTGACCCAGGAGGAGGCCCAGATGAGAATATAACCATTGTTTCTGCTGGAGGATGAGGACCGGGGCGACAAGCCAGCCCAGTAGACTCGTTCCTTTATTAGAGCCAGATGTCTGTGGGTGTTAGAAAGGAAAACTAAGGCTGTTTGACTCGAACCTCCAGACACGGGCATGTGCACAAACGGACACCAGCAATGAGTCCAAAGCAACAAGAAGGGATCTGCAGCTACAACATCCAGCCCGAGGGGGAAAAGGCGTATGTGTAATCTGATTTAGATGTGCTGACTAACCAGGGGTCATAATGAGACAGTTTTCAAGCAGAGTGGACCTGGATTTATTCTATCAGAAAGAAAACATCATACTGCAACTCCAAAGAGTTAGGGACTCAAAAACCATCAAAATCCTTAATGAAGTACAATCAGTAGGGTTATATATATATTTACGCTTGTCTTGCTAATCTCTCAGGATGAGATCAAACTCAGTGATCAAGCCTGAGCTGTGATAACCCTACTGTCGCCACGTCATCACCGCTGGAACGCTCTCGTCACATTTTGAGGGTCTTTACTTTGCAACCTAAAGCACCTCGAGGCGATTGTTGTTGTTGTTATTTGGTGCGATACGAAAACATGGAATTATCCTGAATTGAATTAAATTGACTATATTAACCACAATGCCCCCTCACACAGATCTGCTGACCTCCCTGAGCCTGCTTCTGCTGGAGGGTTCTTCCTGTTAAAAGGGAGTTTTTCCTTCCCACTGTCGCCACAGTGCTTCAAAGGCAGTTGTTGTCTCTCTGTTATTCTCAGGTCTGTACCTCACAATATAAAGTACCTTAAGGGATTTTTGTTGTGATTTGGTGCTATATAAATTAAATATTCTAACGCTGTGAAATTAATTTGAAGCTGGAGTGGATTAAAATGTACAAACTGGTGTAAAAACACAAAACGACTCCCTCTGTCACTATAGTGTGTGACGGGCAGCCCATCCTCCCTCCTGTGTAGTTATTGACATTACACAACATTAATCACACCACAGGATCCTTTCTCTGTTATGTTGATTGTTGACGTGTCTTCTTTGGATGTCCTAAATGGCAATGATGTGCACTTAACAGTGACTGTGGTCTCTGAGGCCCTCAGCCATTTTGGCACCAAACGTCTGACAATAGAAATGTAAAAAAAACATAAATTTTGAATGATGTGAAGCACAGAAAGACAAAGCCAAGGGCCAAAATGTACCACAAGAAATGAAAAAGTTTGAACTTCTCTAAAGTGTCCTAAATGTTTTCAGCCCAAGAAAATAAAATATTAAATTCTTTCCATCTTAGTTTCAACAACAAAGCAAATTAAATAATCTTTTCATTGCTGCTCGCAGCAGTGATTCATAAGACAATAAAAACAAATAAAGCATGAAGACGAGAAAGAGATCATTTAGTGAAAAACAGGTTGGTTGCTGGAGCAGGGCACGTCCACGAAGCTCCTCTATGCAGGGCATGCGGTAATGAGACTCAGCGCCTTAACCCTTTAACAGCCACACAGGCCGTCTCTCGTCTTGTAGGTTAGAGGCAGGCCGGTGCGCCCACTGAGCGAATCCTGTACCTGTCCAGACACTTCTGTAGCTCAAAGTATTAAGGATGCTTGGTGTTACAGGCAATGATACGTAAGCACTTCACTGCTGTGGCAGAAGGCCGACAAACTAATGCTAGAAACCAGTGACAGCGAGCTGTCGGCTGCACCGCCACACTACTAATGTGAGGTCTTGAGAGTGGAACCGCAGCCATCAGCTGCAGTAATCCTCGAGTGGTGATGAGGCAGTTTCCCTCTCAGCTGTATGAATCTAATGAGAGCAAGCATGATGGTACTGGCTCGCCACGCCGAGAGCTCGTGGAAGATGTGAAGTGTGCCTTACAATTTGGCGGAGTTTCTATATTGATCAGAAGGAGGAGGAGACAAACTTAGCTCCCATAATGCTTTGGGTCAGGCACGTGCGAGACGCTGTTTGCTTTGCAGAATCTGAAGCAGCCTAATTTGTCAGCAGTTTGCTTAAACGTGTAGGGAACAACATCAGGAGAATCCCTCATCCAGTCCATCCTCTGAGGATAACAACCATGAAGACCTGCTTCACCCACACATTTCAGTCTTTGCATGCGTCTAGTCCATTTACCCACATCCCTGTCCAGTCGGTGCTGACTGAACATCCTCTGAATTATTCCCAGAAACTCACACACTCCGGCACCTGTTTACACATCAATTTTACAGTTTTTAAATCAATTTGTTCCCATAAAATTCTGCCCTCCGCTCATTTCCTTTTATCTGTTTGACCGAATCAGCCGCTCTCAGAGTCCCATCTCTGTCCACCATTACTCCAACCTCAGGTAGCTGGGTATAGAGTAGTTGAACATGAGGAAGTCTAACTTGTAAAGCTGGTAGAGCTGGATCTGCTGCTGAGTGCTGATATTGCTGAAGAACTGAGCCGTCATAGCATCCGTGGTACGAGTGGACTTGGCGTAGGTCGGGAAGCGCAGGGAGTCACCTACACCACCAGCTGCAACAGGTAGTTTGCATCCTCCTCCAGTGTCTCATACTTGCCCACCATGTCATAGTGGATGTGACACGGTGACAGAGCTGGTACACAGTCTGCCAGTGCTCGTTGAGTCCGTCCCGCTGTTGGCCGGGTCCACCAGATACTCAATGAACTCTTTGAATTTGACATCAGCCCCGTTGAGCAGGGCATCCTGCGTGCGTTCTTGCGGTAGCGGCGATGATTCGGGTGCCAAAGCGCTTGTGGAAAGATGAGTTGTACTTGAGGGTGAACTTGTTGCGATATGCAGAAACCAGCCTCTCGAAGGCTCACGAACAAAAAGGAACTTGAGGTAGTTCTTGAGGCGGTGATTGATCTCGCAATGCTGTACTGATTCAGTGTCTTAAGGTTGGAGGAACGTGGGCTTCATTGGAAGGAATTTCCATTGGGTCACTGCGTGAGAGAGGCACGAGACAGTGAAGAACAACAAAGCACTTATTTTCCTTCCTCTCTGTACAGTACCAAACTCACCTGTACTTGCCCCGGCCTGTAAGCACCATCATGACACGTTTCCAGTTGGTACAGGCCACCTTGGGACATAGCAGTAGATAAGCTCATGGTCTTCATCCACCACGAGGTGTTTGAGGTCTCCGGGTGTCAGGACTCTCCGCTTACGACTCGATGCACTGTAGACCCGACAGGCATCGACTACCTGATCCCTCCTGGCCTGGTGGAGGACAGCAGCTCCTGATAACTCCGTCTGAGAGAGAGAGAGAGACTACTGTGAAATTCAAATAAAAGGCTTCAGGAGGGTAAGTACAGCACAAGATGTGAACAGTCAGTTTTACTTTAATTATGTAGTTTACAGCACAGAGTTGAAAAGAATCCAGAGTAAACAATGTGTGATGTGCAATAAAGGTCCCTGAACAAACACTGGTTCCCAGCTCAAACTGGGTGGTTAGCCAACTTTCAGGATAATTACCAGATAAACCAATGAACCCTCTTTAGGCTGATGTAAAAAATAAATCTTTCTTTTTCAGCTGTGATTGATTGGGTTCAGCTAACCACAAGCTTAAAGAAGAAAAACTCATTGGCTAAATGAAAAGCTCCAATTCCATGTTACTAGTTTGGACGAGTATGTCCAGTGAAAGCCCGGCTGTAATCTGTGTGAAGGATGAACAAAACAAACAAAATGAACTGCCTACTGGTTTTATTACCAGTTGATCTGATAAGGAATCCAATAATTAAACCCAACAACACTTCATCATTAGCTAAACTCTGCGCAAGTCGTTTGTAACAAATGTAGCAAAATGTGACAATTGTGGATTTTTGTTGACAATAATTGAACTAAACCTTTCCAAGAAAGGGAACATACCGTATTAGTCACCAACATTCATATTTAACTCACTACACTAGTTATTGTAGCAGAATAATAAAATATTATTTCACACATTTGTTCTGAAACTTAAAGATGTTTTAGTGCTCTTGGTCACTAACACGGCAGTGAGAAAAAGCCGAGCACTCTACAACTGAAATGAATCAGAAAGAGGGCATGAGGACGGATATGGAAAAGACAGGCAGTTAGATTGCGAGTTATCAATCTTAGGCTTTATTATCATACTCATCTCTTTATTCACTCTATCTTTTTGCCTTATTTGAGTCATTCCACAGACTGTGATAGAGATTAGTCCATGGGTGTGGAGGAAATAATGATATTGGAGAATATTACAGATCCTGCGAGTTCGGTATGAGTGGCTCCAGTTGGTAATCATTTATCGGAGGCATATTTCACCGTCCCAGTGATGCCTGTGGTGAAGCCGACCGTGGCAGGAGAGAAAGGATGAGGTTACAGAAAGAAATGAGAAGAGTAAGAGCAGTATGGAAGTTTTGCATTTTAGGGGCGGGAATGTTTGCTCGTGCCTCTTGATTATTTTTCCTCTGGGTCTACATTCCCCTGTAGGGCAGTGCTCTGGGTTCCTCACAGTATCTAAATTGATTTTACTGTGGCCTGCAGCCTTACCACTCTGTCCCACTCCACACAGCCATGGCCTTTCAGTGATACACTGTCAGGGCTGAGAGGGTGGGAGAGATGCTGACATGAAGTAATGAAACAACACTGGGGCTAACAGGGAGTCTGTACACGAACACAGCTTTGACTAAAGAGGTTTGCATGTGATTCTCTTGGACGCCAGCTTTCAAAACAGGTCTCCAAGTTTGCAGTTCATCACACGCACAGCTTGCTACGGCATCATGGGGAAAGCTTTTACAGTAGGGGATTGCACGATGTGCTCCTGTTATCCCGTAGCTAACAAGTCTACAACGATCCCAGCTGGGCGAGAGGCGCGGTACACCCTGGGCAGGCGACCAGTCTATCGCAGGGCAAACACAACAGACAGTCACACCGACGGGCAATTATAATCATTTAACCCAACCCTACTAACTGCATGTCTTTGGACTGTGGGAGGAAGCTGGAGTACAGAAAGGCCCCGGCTACATGGGGGAGTCGGACCCAGGGACCTTCATGCCACCGTGCTGCCCCCCATAAGTCAGATAAGACATCTATAAAATACACTTCTTGAACTAAACCAAAAAATAAAGTACTTACAATCGTTTTTTCTCACTATCTTTCTGTTCACTTATCTAGTGCTCAGTTCATTTAAGTATATCTAACAAAAATACTCTACATTTAAATACAAATACAAACCTGTCCACAAAAATGATGTGGACAGGTTTGCAAAGCAGTTTCATACTGTGAGTCACCTGGTGGTCCAACCTGTCTCCTGACAATTGTTTGCACAGTAGTGTCTCAGTTATAAGAAGCACACTGACTCACACTGACTCACACTGACTCACACTGACTGGGCCTCGGTGTAAAACATTGCCAATTGGTTGTATTTTGGTTATATCCCTATACAAAAACACGTTGCCCAGCACTTACGATATTTTGCAGTCAAATGTAATTTTGTGTAGTAAAAATAAATAAATAAAACACATGCAATCCTTGCTCTCCCTGACCAAAAAATAACTTCCTGTCACATTAGACAGCTCTGCACAAAACTATGATTTATTTTAAACTAAGATTTGCTTTTTTGCACAAGACACAATATTTTATTCCCACCAGAGAAAAAGTAATATCTAGATCTTTCTTCATTGGGCAACGATAAAAGAGTATTTTCAAACGTTGCTGTCTTTATTAGAATTAAAGCAATAGTGGGCGTCCTTTATTCCCATAGTTACTCCTGCTTTTGGGAAAGGGAAGTGGAGCTTTTCAGGATGGACAATGAAAGTCTCCAGTCAAGATGAAGTGCTCCTTTTGTGCGTCTCCACTTGTTTGCTCTTTTATGCATTTTGCAGTCATGGTCATCAACTCCAAAGCATCAAAGCCCACTAAGGCATAAGAGCTCTTTGTTGATGAAACTCTTAAAGAAAAGGAAGAAGTGGGAGCATCAGGCTATAATTCCCTCAAATGTTGCAGCAGACATGCAGCCCTCCATCTCAGCACAGTTTAAACTGTATTTAACTCGGGAAAAGAGACAAGGGGATCTTCTCAGGCTTGCCCTCAGTTTTCCTCTCATCTCTCTTCTTTCTCTGGGATCACTTTCTACCACTTATCTCATCTTTAGGCAGCCCTGTGAAGTCTCTTGTGGGGTTTTGATGAAGAGTGAGGACAGGGATGAAAAGCAGGAGGAGGAGATGAGATGTGGTGGAGGTCACTGACCTCTGGCCATGTCGAGCTTTTCCCATTGGACAGCAGACTATAGCACTAGCAAATATGCTTGCCCATTTCTGCCCTGATACTTTGTGGACACAAGCTAGTGAAACGGCACCAAATAAGAGCCAGTGTCATAAAATGTCATAAAACCACAGCTATAAAAGTAGTTAGCCGCGACACATTTTATGGCTAATTCAGTTTGATCTCTTCCAATAAGAGCCTCAAACATCCAGCTCAGCAGTTTCTGCGTGCAGGTATACTAGATGATGAATTACTTAGTGTTACAGACACCATGCACTGATATGGAAGTGAAGGTTTAGTCCCTATTTCTCTCTGGCAAACACCATCACAACTTTGAGAAAACCGGGGGGCTGGAAATCCTTAATCCCACCACGAAAGTCATTGTCAGCAGCGTATCTGCAAACAGGGAAGGCTTTACTTCCTTATCCTGAGGGTTCGAGATGATGGGAAATGCACATCCTCTCCTTGTTGCACATTTGTTGTTAAAATGTGTGAGAAAGTGATGAAAGGGCAACATGGAGACTGTGTTTCAATATTTCAAGTCTTCATTTCCTCACCACGACTGTGTTATTGTCTCTGAAAGTTGTTATGAGTTTGAAATATCATCTGTGTATCAGCGCTGAGCCGCTTGTCGCAGCGGTGGTAATGAATAGCTTCCTCCTAATCTGCTGATGATAGCAAAGAAAGATATAAAGGAAGGAAGCCAGGAAGTGATCACTAAAGGACAGAAGAAACATATTCCAGTGAAAGTCTGTAAACTAGCTTACATACAAACGTAGACCCAAGGCTAAAGTATCAACAAAGCAAAGCAAGCCAGCGACGCAGGAAGTCTCAGGGTTACTCCACATCAGTTTGGTCACTTTGATTTGACCAAAGTCTCTGACAGAGCCTTCATCAGACTGTTAATTGGCTGCCTTGGCAGTAGTTTTATATACGTGTGCTATAACCTGTGTTTCTGTATTGTAACAAAGTTAAGACAAGTGTAAAATATTCTGAAAGCTAAAATAAAGATTGAACCAACCATATTTTTGACAGTAAATCATCTTCTGTTACTAATCAAACAGTTTTAGTACAGATTAGGACTTAAAGACTTTTACTATGTAGCTAAAGATGACTAAAAATACACTTGAATGTTCCAGTTAGAGTCATGAATTTTCATGGTGCAAAAGTAAGAAATTCACAATTTGTCTCACGTAATGACCTGAGGATGTTTCTTCAGAATAAGCTAAATGCTGAGGACCAAAAGGTTAAGGGAAAGAACAAAATGGACAAGGATGCAGCGAGTGAGAAGGAAAGACTATGACTTGACTGGCAAAGAGAGCTGGCTGATAAAAGGAGAGTAGATATACTGTGCGTGCAGTTGTCCAGGGTAAATAAGGGGAGGCTAGGAGCTTAGGAGATGGACTCAAACTGGTCTACAACGGTGCCAACAGAAGGGGAAATGGACTTTATTGGCTAGACTGACAGACTAAGTTAGAAAGGAAATGTACTAATGATTGAAGGGAGTGTGTTGAGGGGTTTGTGATGAAAGAAAATAAGAGAGAGAGACAGATGGATGGCAGTTAGTGAATCAGGAAGTGCAGAGGATGAGTAAGGACAACGTGAGGATGAAGAGTGGAAAGGTGGTTGGTCCTGATGACATACAGCGGACTTTTTTTAACACAATCTAGGAGGATGAAAAAATGCTTGAGGAATGGAGACAAAGTGCCAATTTTCAAGAACAATGATGATGTGCAGAGCTGTAGTAACTACAGAGAGATAAAGCTGATGAGCCATACCAAGAAAATATGTGAAAGAGTTCTTGGCGGGCTGATAATCAGTGAGCAGCGGTATAGCCATGCCAAGAAGGAGCACTACAGATGCAATGTTTGCTTTGAGAGTGTTGATGGAGAAGCACAGAAAAGGTCAGGACAGCAGCACAGAGAAAGCATATGATAGCATGCCTGGAGAGGAACTGTGGTGCTGAAGGAATCAGGAGTGGCTGGTGCAGCACATATATGAGTGTGTGAACAGATCTGTTTAAGGTA